ATCGTCAAGTTCATTCAAATACCTCATAATGAGAAGCATACATTACATTGAATATATTATCTATTGCAGAGTAGGTTTTAGTGCTCTTGATACAAGTAACTGTTCTTCTGTTATTAGCATTGCTCCGAAAGAAATAGTAGTTTGATGAACATTCAGATCTTCTGAACAACCATCAATATTTCTTTTATTTCACTAACTCTATCAATTCAAAATCAAGCGTCGTATGAAACGTATTTGAAATTATTGTATTATTTATTACTTTTATTTACTTTCATTTAAGTTGATTCATTATGTAAGTTTTTGAGTTAATATGTGACACATTTTGAAACTGATTTTTAATCACACGTTCGGTCCTCGTGACATTGCATGTTCGATTAAATGTCGTTATTTCAAAGCCGACATGGCAGAAGCCACAACATGGCGATATGGCATTTCCATAGTAACCCAAATAATATCAAAGAAATGAGCGGATCAATATTTTTACAGACAGCAAGAGCGCACTAGGGGCTCTGACAAACCCGAAGGTGACATCAAAACTGGTCTGCGAATGCCATGAAGAACTGAATGAACTTGCAAACAGGAACAAATTAACTTTGTACTGGGTACCAGGTCATTCAGGAATCACAGGTAATGATAAAGCTGATGAATGCGCTAGACGCGGATCATCAACTTCATATATAGGTCCTGAACCAGCTCTGGTGGTACCAAAATCATTGGTAAGAAACCAGATTAGGATATGGACCAATAAAAAGCACACAGAGTACTAGACAAAAGTACCTGGCAACAAACACAGTAGAACCTTTATTGAGGAACCGTCCGAGAAAAGAACCGAAGAACTACTTCAATCTAGTAGGGATCGGCTCAGAATAACTACAGGGTTACTAACCGGTCATTGTCCGCTTAGAGGACACCTGAATAAAATGGGGCTGTACAACAGAGACCTCAGCTGCAGATTATGCAACGAAGGGATAGAAAAAGCTCTACATATATTATGCGAATGTGAGGCCCTCAATCACAGGAGGCAGGCAATATATGGAGGTACGGAATTATGTCCAGAAGAATATGACGAACATCCAACACGGAACCTATACAAACTAGTACAGGGAACGAGACTGATGGAATTGGTGTCACGAGAAGATGGAAGAATAAACGCAATAAGCCCAAGAGGTTGCAGTGTTTTCTGGAGACTTGGACTAAATGGACAAGTCAGACAGCTCCCAAGGTACCAAAAAAACCCTAATAATATGTTTATTGAATGAAAGAGTTCGATGAGCGGAATACCATAAAATAAATCTAAATCTAATATGGTGGACGCCCAAAAATGGCGGTTTAGAATTTCTTAGTAATCCCTATCGAGTAAAATAACTCAATGAGTCGCTCATTACCAAGAATTTTGAATGATCGATTTTCTCTGCATATTCAAGTTCTTTCCATATGGCATAAAGTTCTCCTGAGAACACGGTGCTTTCTGCTGGTAGTTTGAACGAGTGATTGGAGGTAGTATTGGTGAATGCTCCTTTTTCTGATTTGGATGCGTCGGTGTATATTTGGATACAGTCTTCGAATTGCTGCAATATTTGTTGAAAAGATGCGTGAATTAGACTATGGTTGGAATAACTTCTCTCCATTTTTTGAGATAGCAGAAAATCGCCGTACATGCTAAACTAACTTTCATACCTCTTATCAACAATTTTTTTTCATTAATCAGAAGAATCATGAAATACAAATCAATTAACAGAATTCAGCTTATCAATAGAGAAAACCTCAAAATTGCTGATTTGTTTCCTCCTGTTCATAAAAGAGGACATATGCTTCCTCACTCACAAGCGATTTTGGTGAAATTGGGGGCAGGTGTGAATCGTTGTATTCATTCTACGTGCCACTATAAGGGTGTCTGCAATATGATGTGTAATGCCCGTTGTAAGTAGTCCCACTGTGATTCGAAAGTGCATATAGATTGTAACGTCAAGGAGCCACATTATCTGCTACATAATTGCTAATATCTAATCCTTCTGAAGAAAACTCAATGACAACATTCAATTTGCCTGTGAATCTTTCCGTTAGATATAATCTTTTCAAATGAATTACTAAAATACGGGGACACTTATGTAACGATAGGGACTTTGTGCATTTTCTTCTTTCCTTGCACCTCGAACAAGTTGAATTTTCATCTCCATCCAGGGTTTCCTCTTTTGTGAAGAAATCCAAGAATTGTGACAAACTCAATTGGCCAGTTCGTTGTGGTATAGGGAGAGACAAATCCCAGAAAGGATCAAAGGTTACTGATGAGAATCCACAGTGTGGACACTTCATATTAGAATTGAATTGACCAACGAAATTGTCTACAATCTTAGAGTTGTTCATGTTCATGTATCTCAGCCAGGACTCTTGCGCTCATGTAATCATTCTAAAAGATATCGAAAGAATTCCTGGGCATCTTGATGATGAAAGATGAAAGATAACGCTTATCCAGATTCGTTCATAAATTCAACGATAAATGCAATAGAAAATAAAGGGTCAATTAAAAACCAAACGAACATACAAACAGCTTCACAAATTCAACAACATCCAACTAAAAAATTACCGACTCAACATCCACCGACACCTTTCACAACTAACGTTATACCTTACATTCCAAGACTATCTGAAAAAATAAGACGAACTGGAAATAGGTATGATGTTAGAATTACTTTCAAAACAAAAAATACACTGAGATCTATACTCACACATACAAAACCCAACAACACTGAAGAAAAAACAAAAAATTGTATTTATGAAATACCTTGTTTTTGTGGTAAAAGTTACATTGGAGACCATTGAAAGTGCGTGAGAATGAACATCGAGATTACATAAAAAATAGACAATTGACAAGGTCAAAATTATCAGAACACATTTTAAAATCAGACGATGAACATCGGGTGGAATGGAATAGGACAAGAATGATTACCAATGAGCCTCATTCTAAGAGACGTAAGCTAAAAGAATCAGCGTATATTCTCATGTATGGAGAGAATTGTATCTCGAATAGCTCCGTACTTGGCTACCCATCTTGAAGAAAACTTTGGATAGTGGCGAAATGGCAACAGACTGATATCGGAGGAGTACCTTGTATTACATCGAATGTTTCAGTTGTCAATCAACAATATTGACATAATTTTATATTTCAAAACTTCTTTGACATATGTCGAAGAAGTAAAGAAATAAACTATCAAAAGAGGAATATCTGCGAATATATTTGAAATTTTTTATCCATTTTTGAAGACGGAGGCAGATTTTGGCCTCCGAAACGTAAAAGATAAGTATTATTTCGTAACAATTTTTTGCTAGGCAAAATTGTTAAATATGACAGGTTACTGATGAATAGAAGATTTTCCTTTGTAAAATACTTTGATTTTTACGCAGTAACTTATCGGGGTAAACTAAATAGTTTGCCCTTCTACATTTGTATAAAGTTCTCCAATGAAATTTTTATATTTTTCAGATTGTGGAAAGTAACAAATACCCAAAAAAGGTCGATAAAAAACTTTCATGTATGTATCCGTTTTTAAATATTCCAACAACCATCTCGTGTTTGATAATCATTGGTCTATACTGTTCATGAAACAGGTGTTTCCAAAAAATTGAACATCATAAACAGCTGAAACTATGAACATATATATGTTCACGACGAGAGTCGTATATGTAGCCCGAATGTATGTAGCCCGTATGTAGTCGAATGTACGTAGCCCGCTAAATTTGAACATTCAGCTTATTGTTTTAACATACCTCGTATATTTGATGAAGTGTCTCTTTCGCAAGAATATTGAATGAATTTTAAATAGCTTCAGTTAGCTTCAGTTAGAAAAATGATAAGAAGTAAAATAATTTCATAATGAGTATTATTTTTTGAATTGTCAAAGGCACAGTCTCATCAGAGTTTTTCTATACCAAATTAGTTCGACTCGGTTTTCAAAATAATATAGTGAATTGGTTGGAATCATATACGAGGTCTGTTGAAAAAATAAGTGAATTTTCATTTTCTCAAAAATATCTTCTGAAAATTTCATCAGTTTTCAATGTCTAGTACAATAAATTTGCTTTGAAAGCTCAATTACTATTTATAAATAAAAAAACTAACAGAAATATTTATTGGAAATATTATTCTAATTGATATTACACAGCGAGAATCTGCATTTTTGTTAAGAATGAGGACAGATCAATATATCTTTCAACATATACGATGACTATACATATAAATTATCTACTTTTTTGGGACAATTCGAATACAGGAAGCTATAAGTTTATGATATTTCATTGAAAAATCATAGCTTCATATGCCACTGCTGTTTGTTAATCTGTACACTTTCAAATAAAGGTAGAATAAAATGATATCCAATAATTTTTCATCTACCTTAATGGAAACTCATTGTGACCAGTTAGTCATTTTTTTAATGAAATAATCAAAAACTAGTTATACCAAGAATCTCCAAGAATAATATTCTCAATATATCAATTTGGAATGAAAAGATTGGAGAAATGTGTCTATCCAAAAAAAACTTAGCGGGTGATAATCCGAAACAAATGATCCGTTTTAAATAAAATAGACTCGTTTCGAAGTCAACCTACAATGGCAACACCTTCATTAAAAACAGCTAAAATTCCCAAATCTTTTTTTCTTTCTTAAAAAGGTGTCAGTTTTTGTTATTTTTTTTTTAGGAATGGACTAGCAATTTGATATTATCTGTAAACAAAATACCTACTCAGTTTCAGTTCGTATCTTTGATTGTGAATACCCTGAATTATTGTTCGTACTTTATTGACACTGAGCAATTTCCTTGATTTCAAATAAACAATAATTCAAGGTACACACTTTTAATTTGCACGCCGCTCACGACCACTCCAAATACTCATCTAGTGTTAAATGTACTAAAACCACAATTAGCGAACCGTTATCTCCGTTCTTCTTCCACGATCGTGACAGTTTTCACTCGAGTCTCGAGTCGCATATGCGCCGAACTTACCGTGCTCAGAAATAGTTAGTCCAAAAACCAGAAGGGCCGGAAGCCACAACAAAAGTCCCGGGTTCTTGCACCGACACACGTTCATCGCGCACCTTGAGAAACTGTTAACATCAACGTATCTTGTGCACCTGTCGCTGTTACCGGCAACACTGACCGAAGAAGAACAGTTGAAGACTGTCGCAAAACGAGGCCGACCGCGATTTCTTTGCACCAGAAGACACCTCGGTTATGGAACTTCCATGAGTCGATGTGGACTGGTGGGGTACACGAATGGATCGAATTGGGTATTTGGAGTATGGGAATAGATCAAGGAAACGGGGCTTGATTTCGACGATACGATTGATGAAAGGAAAACTAATGCGATTTGGAAGAAATTTGGCATGGATCGCTTTCTTGTTTGCGACGTTTAAAATTGATTAGAAACTGAAATTCTCTAATGGCGGTTCTCGATAGAGATCCCGTCGGAACCGAGCTGTTGCAGTTTGTCATAAAAATTATAATAGAAAACTTTATACAGGTGTAGAGAGGGCAAACTTTTTAGTTTGCCCCGATAAGCGTAAAATCGAAGTATTTTTTACAAAGGCAAATGTTCCACTTATCAGTAACTTGTATTCAATAATTTTGCCTATCAAAAAATTTGCTGAAAAAAATCTGTTTAAAATCTGTTTTTCCGTTAACCAGCTGTTGCACTCCTACGAACGACAACCCTCAGAAGGCGAAACTTGTGCGAACTGAGGATTAACGAGGTCTTACCTTTTAACGTGTGGTTCCTAAATGATACAATACTTATCCTAACGTTTCGAAGGCCAAAATCTACCTCGGTCCCAGGCACTTTGTTGTTTGGGTCGGATCTTTCCTGCACTGACGAGAGGTAATACTCCGAAACCGCTCTGTGGGTATCAACTCGATTGATTTCAGCGTGGTCCTGTTGCTTGATGAACGTGAAACATCTGTGAGGTATCTTGCAATAATGTTTATCAGATATAATTCAATATCCAGCGTGGTATTAGCCGGGAAAGTAGTCGTTTCCCGGCAGGCATTTATTTTCTTTTTATATGTTTGTATCTCTCGATACAATCTTCAGAAAAATATTTTATACAAATATAACGAGTACGTCAATTTGCCAACATTTCCAGAAAATATATTCCTCCCACCCCTCTAATTATCGACTTTGCCACCCTGCACTAATTGGTACATAGGTATAATTTTAACAATCACTCAACCATTTTCTGTTACACGTTGATGCCCTCAAAGTACAAACAGAAAAAAAAAATGGATTGTCAAGAGAGAAATCTATCGATTGCTACGTTTTTATTTTTTATTTTTTTATTTTTCATTTCTACGACGCAAGGAAAGTTTTCATAAGTTTCACTTTCCGGAAAAAATAAAGAAAAAGACGTCATTTCGTTATAGAGAGCTATTCTATTGCGTAAAAGCCAATGTCCTACAAAGATCAGTGGCTTCAATCATAGCAGATGTTGGTTTGTTTTTTTTTTCATGCTTATTGCCTTCGTATTTCTCATCGAGGTAAATTTATCTGCTCTTGTAGTTGGAGTCCAACTGAATAACTTTGAATATTCACGAATAGCACTTCAGGTACATTTGGGTGTATTTCAATTCAATACAATTTCAATCTTCATCTCACATGAGTACAAAATCGTATTATTTTGAAGAAATGATCAATTTTTCCGTATTCCTAATTTTTGTACTAAATTTCTGTCCAGTTGTTGATTCCTCTGACATTTCGTAAAATTATTCATAAAACTCACTGCACTGCATTGAAAAATACAAGGTATTTACGGTATTTCATCTTAGTCGAAAAGTTATCATAAAACTTGATTGATAAATAGCGTTCACTAACATTTCAGTCTGTTTCGGTAACGACACCATATAGTAATAAGCTGAAAAGAGGCAAAAAAAATAATTTGAGAAAAAATTAACATCATCAATATGTAAAGTAAAAATTATCTATCAATCAGTGCAAACCACAAAACAGTAGAATAAATATTTATCAAAAAATGAAGCTACAAAAACACATCACATTAAAACGAGCTACACTTTTGAAACAACGTAACACAACTGGGCTACTGGAAATAAACAGGTTGTTCCATAATTGAATGCTAATCCAGAAGGGTGATAAAATCCTTGGTTGATTCTAAGAAAAATTTTTCATATGAATATAGGTTCACAAACGCTTCATTTCTGAGATTCTGTTGAAATTCAACAAAAAAATCATTTCTTTTCTGATATATCAATGAAAATTATGACAACTCAATCGATTTTATAAACTTTCTGTAACTGTTTGAAATGAAGGTTTCGTAGCAATATTCATTAGAATATATTGTAATGTTTATAGTTAACAAAGGATGATGCATTCAATGATAAATTAAACACGTCAGAATAATAAAATATATACGAAACCATATGGTAAAACTACGAGGTGGACATGCCCATGTTTTATTTTTTTCAATAAAAACTGAAATATCTCATGGATGGTTGATTTTTCATATAGTTAATGTTTCATGAAAATGAGTCAAAATAATCTCAGAAATTCAAAAATACCAAATTCAAAAATATCTTAAAACACAGGATGTTTTGTTTGGAAAAACTGAGTTTTGGCCCATTTTTATTTTTATAACTTCAGGTTTAGTTATCGATTCCGAATGCCTTGGATAACATTTTGGAAATATTACTCCCTCATCCTCAGGAGAAGTTATCTCTTGATGATGCTAACTTTGTTGGCGAAACGCGCGTCGAGTGCAAAAATATCAGTTTGGTGTTAGGGCAATTGATCTCGAAAAAAGTTATTAAACTTTCACACCAAAGGTTCCAATCTCATCGTGAATCAATAATAGTTTATGTATTCTATCAAACTTTCGAGTTTAATGTGGGAATGACTTGAAAGCCGAATACCTAGTTTTTTCAGTAAACAAATAAACGGTTCAGTTTTGGTATGTTATGTTTATGTTATGAAATATAACATAAACTCACATTAGAATTATGTCAGGTATATACCGGATGTTATATTTGAATTAAATAACTTCCGGTTCAACCGAAGGTGTTGAAAAACGTCATAATTTTCATTCGATGAAGCATATTAAAAAACTTGTTTTCAACAATTTTCAGGATATGTATCCAATTATTTTCCAAAATACGGCTAAGCCATACTCATCGCGCTGTAACCTGTATGTGACCATTATTTCAAACATTAAAATCGATGTAGTGAGCTATCCGTCATTGATTTCTCCACCTAAAAGTTCGGCCAGGTTCAATTGGATCATCAGCAGAAATTGAATATTCCTTTAGTTCTGAAAAAAACAATTGCGCCATTGTGTTGTTTTATTGATCAATAAACCATTTCCGTGGAATTGGGATCAAGTATTCAGTTTTTGAGTATGATGATGGTTATCACTAATATCCTTATTTCACCTGTGGTAGAAGTCCATTATGTTAGGTAGTTACTATTTAAAGCAGATATTTGGTCATTACATGCCCTCAATTTATGTTTTCTCCTAAATATCGTTTTACAACAAAATTTCTTCCAATTCAATAATGAATACTTTTTATAGATTTACGGTCTAGCTATGGGTAGCCATTTGTCCCCTCTTTTAGCAGAGAATTTCATGACTGATTGAGAACATAACCTCCAAGTTTTTCCTTTATACAATCAAATATTGTTTTGGTATAGATATGTTGATGATTGTATTGCATCTTTCAACGGTAATTATCAAGGTGTAAACCTTCTTTTATAAATTTCATTAATTCCTTACACCCTTCTATAAGATTCACTATGGAATTAGCAAAAGACAATTCTCTTCCTTTCTTAGATTTATTGATCAACATTAATGTTCCAAACTTGAATTTTCAATTTATAGAAAACCTTCTCATACCGATTCAGTAATTTTTTTCTTCTTGCCACCCGTTTTCCCACAAATTTGCAGCATTCAATTCATTATTTCACATATTATTTAATATTCCGATGTCACCTGATAATTTCAATAAAGAGTTGAATATTATTGTACAAATAGGTTATAATAATGGTTTCCCTGTTTGTCTAATTGATAGAATCTATAACAAACACATAACTAAATTTCTTAATCGTAGTTTAATCTCTACCAATAAATATTGTTCTATTTCCTATTTAGGTAAAGCCTCACAAGAAATTTCAAATATTCTCAGACGGTACTGCAATGATAATAATTTTTTTATACTATGAATCCTATTTCCAAATCGTGAGTCAATATACTAAACATAAACTACCGATCTCCCATAAATCAGACGTTTATAGAATTTCTTGTTCACACCAAATTGTTCCGCTCAGTATGTTGGACAATGTAGTAGGAAAATTGAAACAAGATTTCTTGAACATGTTAAACTAATTGATAATTTCAGAAATCTACACTTAGATGATTATAACACAAAAAGTTCGTTTTCTACTCACATCCTTATCACGACCATATTTTTGATACCTACTGATGCTGATTTAGATATTTCACATATTTGCCAAAAAGGCACTCCACTCAATTTACCTACTTGAAATCAACTCTGCTGTTGATAACCCCAGTGTTAGTTCACTTAATGAACAAGTACATTTTTATTGCCTAAAGTTTTTCAATTCCTTTAATTTTAAATAAATATCCTCGGCCTTGATCTTCCATGAACTCTTATTTTATTCACACAGTTGTTTGGTGGTCGGCTCCAGCTGTTTGACACCTTTTCTTCATTCCATGTATGGGCAATAGATGTCTCGCATGTTGGTGCTGATCGGGACAATTATTCTTCCAACCCCATTGATCACACAGTTCAACTCATAGGATTACTTTCACAAATTATTGTGACAAGTTGGCATGTATAGATGGTATGGGATCTATTTGTTCAGAACACGAGTTAATATGTATGTGGTGGTCCTTCTTCTGTTGTGTTCTATGTTTGCAGTTCTCATGTCACTGTTCCATGTCATCTTAATTTTATTTTTCATATATTTTTGACAGTTGATTCTTCCTTCTCGACCAATTCATCAATTCGGATCTCTTTTATTAGAGTTCGTTTTCATGTGGAGTTTTTTTATTTTGATGTTAATATATGGGTATAAATGTTCTAAACCTCCCGTACTTCAATCTCGTATAGATAGGATGTTATAAACTTTCATCGTTTTACTAAATATGTAAAAAAAAATCTTTACTAGTAACATGTCATTGTGGCTATTCATGGATTGGAAACATGTGATAATATTTCTTTTCATCATTATAAAAAAAATCCTCTCCTTTGTATTAACTATTGTTATGTTGTTCTTCCATTGTATAAATTTGAATAATTAGCTGATGATGAACCTATATAGGTTCGAAACAGGTACTGATTGATGGTTTCACCGTTCTAACATCTGAGGGTGATAATAAATTGTGGAGACGACTTTGGGTTTTTATGCTTTGTAAATCCTTAATTCAGTGTTTGTTCCATTAAATATTGTGTCACGCTAAACAGGGCAGCGGTAGAATTGTGAATTTGTAGTCAAATTAAACAGCAGCAG